TTTTTGTCTCTTTCTTCTATTTTCTAAATGCGTTTCTTCTTCTTCTCTTTTATTTTTTTTCTTCTCTCGAAACATCTCACTTTTACAGAAAATTATCGCAAAATATGCTTCTTCTCTTTTCTTACTAAACAGAAAATAATTAATTAGAACAATTTGATATATCCTGAACTAAATTCATTTGATATGTACTAAACTAAATTTATAGAAACGCTTCTTCTCTTTTTTTATTAAAATAGTTTGAGATGTAGGTTGTTTTTTTGGAATGGCACAAATCTGGGAGACTAAAATTTCTCAAAATTGTTATTTGTTTCTTTTATGTTGCTTAATTGTTGTTTCATTATTATTTTATTGTTCATTTCACGTTGCTTTATAATTAATTGAATTGTTATGTATTTTTATAATCAGTTGACTAATCTTTTTTTTAATTGAAGAAGAAGAAAAAGTTTATATATTTTTCATCGTTGGAAAAAAAAAAAGAAGAAGAAGAAAAAAGTTGAAGATAGAAAAAAAAAACGTTAAAGGAGAATAAAAACGAGGAAGAGAGAGAAAGAGGAAGAAAAAAGAAGAAGAGAGAGAAAAAAGAGGGAGAGAGAGATAGAGAAATTGTTGTCTTTCAGTTTTTTTGCTCAAACCCATTCATAATTTTGTATTTTTCAATTTCTTTTATTTTTTTTGAGTTTTTCTAAATTTGTCTAACTTTGGAGTATATTTGGTATTGTGGATAGGTGGTAGCCGTTGTAGAATATCTATTAATATATAAAGAGACAACCTAAATAATCCTTAAATAATAACTAAAAAATCAACTAAAATCCCGCCTAAACATATAACTAAATATAGAAACTTTGTTTGAAAGTTTTCGCAATATGCCACTTTCTATTAAATCATTTGAATTTTTTGAAATTTTGAAAAGTTTTATCAAATTCCCAAATCTTCATTTGCCATTGCAAATTTTTAGACCATGTTAATCTCTATCTATTATTCTGGATTTCAGTCTTTAAGGAACATAAAAGTATTCATTTGAATTTTGAACTGCAATATTAAAATAAGAAAAAAGTTAATTAAACAATTTTTTTTCAAATACTACATAATTTTACATTAAAATTGACCGAATACATCCAAAAGATGAAATCAACCTTTCCATACTAAGTTTTCCATTCTATATAATTAAAAATTCCATTTTGTGTCTGCAATAATTTTTAAATGCCAATTTCAATTTATCGAGAATCTTTATTAGATTTCATTCAAAATTCATATACTTATTAAATACTTAATATATATTATCAAAAAATATACTTTTTTAAAATCAATTAAAATAAATACCCTTTTAAATCAAATAAATATATGTGTGCGTAAGGAAAATCCCATCTAAAACTTTTTATTTTTACTGTATTTGAAGTTTTTTAAGTAATTTGAATTTTACCGCTTTTGAAATATATAATGTTTGTTTAAAATTTAAATTATTTAAGTTAATTACACATAATTCATAAAGATTATTAAAATATTTACACATAGATTATTAGAGATGCATAGATTATTAGAGCATCTCTAATATTTAAATGCAGTAGTAGTAAATTACTCTCTACATTAACATATTTAGCAATTTATCAACTTTTAATCTTTCAATGCACAATGTTATTACAAATGTAGTGATGAGGTGGACATAATTAATGTATACAATGTAGAGAAGAATGTGGTTCCTCCACATATTCATTCAAATTTTACTCAACCAATGGAGAGATGAGATAAAAATATTATTACCATTTTTAAAATATCTAATTATTTAATTTATTTTCTTTCGTATTTATATTTTTTTTTTATTTTGGCCAAGTGTACAATATTGGTTTGATTATAATGTTCATTAGAGACAATTTTTAGAATTAAAGTTGTGAGCTTAATAATTATCTTATGTGGTTCACAATTCATCTAATTGATTGACATTTGTCAAAATTTATGTAATAACAACATTTATGCATTGGATGTTCTTAGGTTTAAAAAAACTACTTTCTATTTAATCTAACGTAACTTTCATAGACTAACTTCAATTATACCTCATTCAAAGTCGACTAGAGTTTGTGAAAAACCATAACATCTTTAAATCATGTGATGTTATCCTAAACTAATTTAAATTATATCTCATTCAAAATATCATACAATCATTTTATTATATTTTATCAAAAACTAATTTAAATTATATTTCATTTAAAACCACCTATTGAAAATCCTATCATCTTTGAATGGTATATCTACCATATTTTTTAAATACAATTTGCATCTTATTAATAATCTTGATTTTATTGAAGTTTGTTCTAAATTCATATATTTATTAAATGTCATATCCTTTAAAATTTTATTGGATCTTATGAAATTCATATATTTATTAAATAACACACCTTTTAAGTTGTATTGAATTTTATTCAAAATTCATTTAAATAAAAAAAAAAATTAGAAAAATGCTACAAGTACATAATACATTCACATAGAGGTGTACATACACTATGGAGTGAGGTCCACTTGATTTTTTATTTTTGGTGGGTCTATTAATTGTGAGTGTTATGTACACTCTTATGTACACCATTATATATTTATATCATTACTCAAAAAATTATGTGCGTGATAATTTTTAATTCAAATTCAATGTGACATCGCTGTTTCATTTTAATTATTCATAAATAACGACGTGGTTGGTCGACTAAATTATATATATTTATTTCATGTATAAAAAATCTAATTTCATTATGTTATATAATAAAAATCTTGTGATATATGAAATGAGTGTACTGTTTATTTTATTTTCTGTAGGTAACGGTGACTCAAAACATAGAATAATTAAGTTGTTTTTTGACATGTTATTCAATAATAAACTAGAAAATTTTTGGTGAGTCTTCACAAATAATATAGAATATTTTAGGTATTTTTAGACATGATATATAACATTTTAAGTACTTTTAATATTTTTAGATAGGTATGTTTTATATGTTTTTACCTAAAATAATTTTCAATATGCTTTAATTATTTGTTAATGGTAAACATTTGTTAATTTCCATTAAATTGTACCGTATTACATGTTAATTTATAATTTTTAATTATAACTATTATTTAATACTTTTTACTTATAATTTTTAATTATAACTATTATTTAATACTTTTTACCCGTGCCTAGCACGGGAACTGCACTAGTTAGTCTTAAAGAGAGGCAGTTATAAAATTTTCCCTAAAATTATAAAACACTTGGCCAACTTAAATTATTAATTTTTAAAAGGAAATGACATTTGAAGGAAAATAACGACTCGAAATGAATTCGAGACTTTCAACACTGAAGATGCAAAAAGTTAAGGCTTAATTTGTCCCGACAGGAGCTAGACGATCCTACACTGAGAAGGTTTCTCCATGCACGCGACCTTCACATGGAGAAAGCTTCACAAATGGTGACGAAATACTTAGCGTGGAGGAGAACATTCGTTCCAAAAGGTTCGATTTCTGAATCAGAGGTACCAAATCAAATAGCACAAAACAAGATGTTCATGCAAGGCAAAGACAAACAAGGGCGTCCCATAGCAGTTCTTTTCGGTTCCAGGCATTTTTCGAGCAAAGGAGGCTTAGAAGAATTCAAGCGTTTGTGTTTTATCGCACTTTGAATGCTTTCTTCAATGCATTCAGAACATTTGTTTCTCACAGTCTTTTGGTTGGATTTTCAGGCTATGTGGTGTTCGTTCTGGATAAATTGTGTCGCAGGTACATAATAGTATAATACTACTTTCCAACTATTAAGGAAGTACCGAAAGATTTTGAATAAAACGTGCAAGAAGCCATTATATTTTCAAGGGATTTTAATCTCTTTCCCCTCTCCCTATCTCTCAGCAACCTTGATGGACAGGAGAAGTTCACTGTCATCGCGGATCTTCAAGGATATGGCTATTGCAATAGTGATGTTCGCGGATGCCTAGCCTCCCTTAGCATTTTACAGGTCCAAAAAAGATATTTGTGTCGGTAAAACCTAGTTGGTTGGAAAGTAAATAAAATGTCGTGAGGATAAACTTTTGCTTCTTGATCACTTGCCATGGCACAGGATTACTACCCAGAGAGACTTGGGAAAGTGTACAACATTCACGTACCTTACGTCTTCATGACACTGTGGAAGATCATCTGTCCGTTTATCGACAAAAATACTAGGAAGAAGGTAAAATGGCAAAGAGAGAGATTTTTCGAATTAGCAGTGGTGGTCTTACTCTTATGCCTTGTTTGATTTTTGTTCCTTATCCGAACTAGATTGTATTTGTGGAGAACAAGAGACTGCGCGAGACTTTGCTGGAGGACATAGATGAAAGCCAGCTTCCAGAGGTTTACGGAGGAAAAATGCCTCTAGTCCCTATACACATGGCTTAGTTGATCATCCATCTCAAGAGTGCTAAAGTAGACAAATATTCACATTCAGTAAATGAAACAAACCTCGGAAACAGGCTTAAACCTGTCGCCATACCATTCTGCAAACAATTCTCGCTCAAGTGTGTATTGTGTGTGTATTTTGGTCATCCTGTTGTTTAAATGCCAAAAAAAAATAAAATTAAATACCTTCAGCAGTTCTGAAGTCAAGTCAAATCCAATAAATATATGCATGCCAAACCTATAAAAAACTAAATAAATACCTTCAGCAGCTCTGAAGTCGAGTCAAATCCTTAAACTGAAATAGTCCGTGTTTAGAAAGAAATGAAGCCGGCATTTGATTCAATTGGAGAAAACTATTGGCCCCTTCAAAATCCCAATCGAGGCTGTCAATGGTTCTCTGAGACCATGGAAATTTCAATATTCAACAAAGAAGAGGGCCATGGCAGCTCCCTTTATAATAAATTTGAATAAATTGCAAGAAAACTACTCCATTGATATAGTCTAGGAAGCTTTAATTGACTTAACAAATATCTTGCTGTAGAGTACTGAGGCACTGATCTGTAAAGTAGAAAAGCAAAGATCAGGAGAGTAGTGCAATTTACAATCTCAGAAAGCTATAGCTCGTGGTTTCTTGTAATTCAATTGTCAATGATATTTTTGTATAATAATCTAGAAATTCTCCCAACCTGTTTAGGAATATACTGGGTATGTTGATGTTGATGTTGATGATGAATCTAGAAATTCTATGTACCAGTAGAAAGGCAATATCAAAGCCCATGTAGATCAATCCTCACATATCTCAACCAACAATCAACTCTATAATTTTCCCCCTTTCCTCATCTACGATTGGGAGAAATACTGTAGTTCCAAAAAGCATTCAGGTTTCAAAACCACAACTTCCCGTCGATAATCACCAATAATCACCACAAGAACAAGAGCCCTTTTCAAACCTATGAAAACGAATCCTGTCCCTCATGTTTATCACCCTATGCAGAACTTTTGACACAATCTTGATCCAACTGTGACAATCAAGACAAGTACGCAAGTTTTTGGAAATCAATATTTCAGTTCCAGGACTAGATTTCAGGATCCCGCAAGCCACAGCCAATTTTTCACTGTGATAATTCAAGTTCTCCTCCTTTTCTTCTTCTGAGATATCCATCAAAACCAGATCCTGTACAGAAACATAACCTTCCATTCTAGACCGACGAGTCAAAGCTTCTAATAGTGTATAAATTGCTTCGGTTTCTGGGTGGGACCTATCACCTGCCATAAAATGGTGAATCATACCATGCAGTTCAACCCAACTCTTTCCCTTAGCCTTATGAATTCCCTTCTTATTCATAGTTTGCCTCATATTTTCTGCACAATCCCATTTCTTTGTTGAGCAGTACATATTTGACATCAAAACATAATCCCCACTTTCTAAATGCTTTATATTCCCAACAACAACTTCACCCAACTTGGATTTTTTGTGAGTTCTACATGCACTAAGTAGTGTCCTCCACACAACAACATCAGGCTCCATTGGCATCTCATTAATCATTGCATAAGCTTGTTCCAGAAGTCCGGCTCGTGCGAAAAGGTCGACCATTGCCCCATAGTGCTCGATTTCCGGCCGAATCAAGTAACTTTTTTGCATTAGATTAAAATACCATTGACCCTGTTCTAGTAAACCGCAGTGGCTACAAGCCGTTATGATTCCAATAAAGGTCACAGAATCAGGTGAAATACCTTTTTCCCTTTCCATGGCTGAGAAAATAGAAATTGCATCCACAGCAAGACCATGAATTGCTAGTCCATTTATAATTGCATTCCATATGGATACATCTGTTTTCTGAGCATTACTAAAGATGGATTTTGCTGTTTCAATTCTACCACATCTAGAGTACATGTCTACAAGTGCAGAAGAAAGTATATAATTTAACTCGATTTTTTTCTCAATCATCAAATTATGCACCCACTTTCCATGGCTAAGAGCTCCAAGCCTCGAGCACGCGTTTATGACTGAAGCAAAGGTAAACCCATCAGGCTCAATATTTGTTTCTAACATTTGTTTAAACAACTCAATTGCTTCCACAAAGAATCCACTTTTAACATTACCCCCAATGATCAAGTTCCATGTGACAACATCTCGGATAGGTAGAGCAGAAAATACTTTCTCAGCCATATCTATTTCGCCAGCCTTCAAGAAACTATCAATCAGCAAATTTGCAGAGATGCCAAAATTTGTACAACATACCTCGGAAAGTAGTTGTTGAGCAAGAATGGGTTTTTGGCAAGCCATGTACACCTTCAGCAATGTGGATAATAGCAATGGGTACATTCCATACCCATGTTTAATGATTTTACCGTGCACGGTATTTGCAGTTCTGAAATTATGGGACAGCTTGCAAGATTCAAGAATCCTGACAAGTGTTTGATCATCTGAGGATATCATCAACACAAGAAGAAATTAACAGCCGGAGCTTGGAAAAACCACCAACCAAATGCATCATTCATGAAAGCATAGCTCAAGTATTCATTAGATAACAAAAAGTTCCGAGACTATGAAATGAAATACAAAACGTACAAGAGAATCGACTTGCATATAATCCTATCACCATCACCAATTGGATTTATATTTGGGAAGCATACTGTTAAGAATAATAATCAGATCTTCAGTTATTGAGGATGGGGTCATGGACATGAACTAATGTTTGGCACACCATTCAACTTGCACCCTTTATCTTACAATATCAGATTTCACAAAGCTAAACCTATCTGATTATGCACCAAATTAACACAAAACAAGCTCGGCAATTACACAACTGGGGATTTGAAAAAGAACAAAAAATTTGTGTCAAGTACGGCCCACTACCAAAGTATAAAGTACATATATTAACAGCACACTAGCATAGCTATTTAGGACAATAATGGAAATTAGAAGAAAGAGGAAGCAAATATAACCTGTTACAGAAAGAGCTTGCGATGTGAGCTCAGGTTTTGTGCAGAAAACTGCAGTTTGGCTCCGGCGAAATGATGACCTCAGATAAAATAGTTTTCTTTTCAAAGCTACCATGCTTTTCAGAACCGTTGGCGGCCGGAGTGCCGGCGGCAGATGTCTGGCCGGTGATTTGATGTCCGGGATGAACTGATCGAAAAAAAAAATAAAAAATCTCAGTAGCGAGAGAACGGTATTGGGCTTAATGCCCTTGTATAATGTCCAATAAGAATTGGATAGTGCAATTGTTATAATAAGCCCATTAATAAAAGAGAGATACAATTTGGGCTGGATAAAGTGGCATCCATGTGGGCTCATATCTGATTCATAACAAACTTTTTTGGACAATCGACGATAGGTCATCATAATTTCAGACACCATACAAAACATGGTAAATAAACTGTGATTAGAACAATTATATGGAGTGTTTAATCATGTCTTTGGCCAAACTATTTCACAAATTCCACGTGTCAATTGTTTATTCACTCGTGTGATTGACATTGGGAAGAACAGCTACTACCCATCTCGATTTTCTGTCGACTCAAATTTTTGGGTTATTTGAGTTACTTAATATAACTCAACACACAATAGAATATAAGATTGTTTTGCAAGTTCCTAATGAAACCAACAAATTTCACATATCCACAACATGAAATGAAAAGCATGCAAACAAAATGTGCCATCACTATATCTCTCGAGGGTGTGTGTGTGCCTTTGGTACCATGTAATTATACAAAACGAAGAAGCACAAACACGAGTGACAAAAACGAGCCTCGAAACCTCATTCTCGAGCAGTCAAGACGAATGAGTGGGGTATCTCCATAGCACGTCACCCCAGGTGCTCACCCCATCTGTAAACTCCTTGACCACAGATGCCACCTCATCGACACTAACACGAATCTGTTGCTTGCTGTCCCTCTCTCTCACAGTCACCGAGTTTTCTGAGTCCACAGTGATTGCTAACGGGACTCCCAGTTCATCCGTTCTTGCATACCTCTTTCCAATCGAGGTTCCTGCATCATCATATTAATATAACAAGCGAATTTTCTCCGTATTTTAGTGGAATTGAAAAGATGAGCATTACGCACCAGTAATGTCGATTTTGTACGTGATCCCAACGGCAGTCAGTGACCTGGCAATCCTTCTAGCAACTTCCTCGAATTGCTCATTCTGAACCAGAGGAAACACAGTGCATTTGATGGGGGCTACAAGAGGCGGGAAGCCAAAGACATTGAGCTGTTCATCCCCATCTCGGCTAGGCCTCGTGTAAAATGAGTGCTCGTAGAGGCAATATATGATCCTCCCAATACCGAACGATGGCTCGATAACCGATGGAGTGAAAACCCTCTGGTGCTCCTTTTTCTTCTCCTTGGAGACGGAGACCATATTGCTCTTTATGTTCACGGTCTTTTCAAGGGTGCAAACACGGAACTCGGCCTCTCCTTTGGCTTCTAGAGTTGCTTTCAACTCCATGGCTTCCTTTTCATCCATGGCCTGTTTGTAAAGAGAGAGAGAGAAAAAAAATAAATAAATAAATAAATCTCAAGTTCAAGCGAGACGGGGATAAAAGAAAGTTATTATTTCTGAGTGCATAAAAATAAGGACATAGAAAGATAATAGCTTTGAGTATACCTCCAAAGCTTCAACCACCATCGTTTGGCTACCCTTAAAGGCCCAGCTCTTTCTTAACTGGAGCTATAACAAGCTTCTGCAAAGGACCAAACATTAGCTTTTAACCACATCCAAGCACACCAACAAATTAAATAATTAATCAAAAATCAAAATACACAGAGGACGATGGAATAACCTCGACTTCTCTAGGTTCTGTGAATTTCTCATGTGCCACTAGGGGAACTCCACTTTTATCCTGCAAACATATTACCACAAAAGGTCAAATCATACACTTGGGCAATAAGCAGACTGTAACTCGTATGATGTTCTCTCACTCAATGCTAATCATACTATGAAGGCAAAATTCCATGTTACATCACCATCCTTTTTTCCATTACAATGTTAATACGACTTCGTAAGGTCATTAAATCAAATCACCACCTTCTCATATTTGCCAAAATGAAGTACCAAAACCCATCTCGGTCATCTGACTCTGACGTAGTGCAACTACTTAAGATGATGTAGAAATTTAAAAAAAAAATGATCTGGCAGACAAGTTTGCTAAAAAAACCATGACTTTTGGGAATTTGTAAATATAATCATGACTTTTTACGTTTTTGCTAAATGAACTGAGTGCGAGGAAACGTTGTTTAAGAGTGAATTTGGTAAGGGTTTCGGAACAACTTAACTTACAAAAAGCTCTTATTTTACTGTAAGCTTTGCTTGGTAACTACACAAGAGCTTCAAGGAAGCTAGTTTTTTCAAAAGCTACATGATGAAGAGTATGAAATAAAAAAAGCTTTCAGCTAGTAACTTGTCAGCTGGTTTTCAACTACAGGTACCAAGCAGACTCTTAGTTCATTATCTACTGGAGAATGAACACTTTAGTTAATTATATGATTAACAATTAAATGGAAACAAACCCGTTAAAAATGATATATATAATTTACGTATTTTCTTCGACAAGAAAAGAACATTAGATTCTAAAAGAACTGCTACATGGAAATAATTTTTTTTTTTAACTTGCCGGATAACTTGTTGGGACGGAACTACGACTCGGTACAACTTTTTAACTCAAAATCCACTATTCTTCTAATTCAATTTAACTTTCAATATTATCAACATAATTAAATAATATCAATCAACCATTACTAAACATTTTTCAACAAAATTTACTATTCATCTACTCACTTATTTTTAGTTACCAATCATTGCTTCACTACTTTAACATCACATCAACTTTATTACATTTTAACTCATATCCACCCACAAACACAAATCAAATCCAAATTTTACCATCCAACATAAAGATGGTAAATATAATTAATCACGTACTTATTCATTTAACCATCCAACATAAGTGCTCATTCTTTGATTGAAATATAAAAGATTAAAACTATTAAAACAAACAGTTCCCAAACACGTGATTCGCTTTGCAAAAGAATAGAAGGTTGTGATTTTATTTGCAAATTTGATAAATATCGCAATTTCTTTTAAATGTCTGCCACATCAGATTTTGCTTCAAAAAGATTTTTACGTCGATTAAAGTTGCCCGCCACGTCAAACCCCAACGACCAGAGAATGTTTTTGGTGCTTCGTTTTGCAAATATGAGAAGGTTATGGTTTCTTTGACAAGTTTACAGAGCCGTGTTAAAATTGCAACTGAAAGATGTCATTTAACTTTCAATAAAAATGAAACCACAGAAATGAGCAAGTTCCCAAAAAGGCTTACAGTGTGGGCACGCAGATCATATGCTGATCTATCAGCAATACCAACACACTCGATCCAACCATAAGAGCATTCAATTTCAGCATCCCAACAATCGGCAGCATAGTGTGCCATCTCATTTGCCAGATGCTGGCGGAACCTTAGGCGGTCTTTGTCAATCCCAAGTTGGGTCAAGAATAAATACACTCGCCCAATGAAATAACCAAGTGTCTCATTGTTGACAATCCCCTGACTCAAACAGCAAAAACAAGTAACTGTTAACATATATAAAGCCTAAGTTATATAGACATGAAGGTGGATGATAGGTTACAAAAGCCCGACCTGTTCAACTGCTTCCCCAATAGCCATTCTCCTAGCGGCTCGTCCAGACACCTGATCTTCTCTTGGGAACATTAAGAATTCCAATTTTGCAACCTCAGCGAATTTAGGGTGAGACTTATCCTCAGGATCCACAAAGTGCTCAATCTCTGCCAGTGTGAATTCACGGACCCTTAGTAGACCTTGCCTCGGAGAGATCTGAAGAATTCATGCTAGTCAGAGAGTGAGACATTGCTCAGTGTCTGAAAGAGATCTGATATGCATAGCACATCGGCTTAGAGGCTTGCAGATTTTCTAAGATTCCAAAGAATGTCAGCAAACTTAACAATGAATCACACTTCAATAGTGATTTAATATGAACATGGAATAAAAACTTGTTTTCACGAAAATAATGTTTAAGTGCTCCGAGGCTAATATAGAAACTTATAACATTGTCCAGCAAATGTTTAGGAGAGCATTCAAAACATGTGGCGCTCAACCAAAGGATCACAGTTAAAGGTTGTTGAGAAATAAACAATAAGCGAAGTGGTCAAAGGGCATGCAGAAAAAGTAAAGCAAGAAAGAAAAGGAGAGAAATAAATTTAAGACTAAAGCAAGATTAGTACCAAGTAGAAGGAAATTTCACATGTGCACTTCGTGTTCATTAAACTGACAAAAACTGCCAAAAAAGAAAATCATATTTTGTACAGTGAAAAAATCTTTTAAATAGAAATGTTAGCAAGCTTCTATATATCTATGAACAGATGCATTCCTCTTTGAGAAACAAGAGCAAAGATGCCCTGTTTTTCCAAATTTTAACTAAACCGTGTAGAAATATTGAGAGTTGGGATTCAACTCACGCACGCTCTCTAAAAATACAACTCTCCTTTTACCCGTCAGAATAATTAAATACCTTCTCTAGGTCCCTATTGATAAGACCATTAGCATATTCTGTATGTTAGTCATACTAAGAAATAGAAAAGATCATAGATTTTTATAAGCTCCACCAGTAAGCTACACTAGAAGATACTCAAAGAAAGCAAGTAGCAATGGAAGCATAATGGTAGAATACGAGACCTCATTTCGGAAAGCTTGACCAATCTGTGCAGCTGCAAAAGGAAGCTTGTTGCCATTGTAGTAGTACAAGTCCTTGAAATTTACAAATATACCTTGAGCCGTCTCAGGACGCATATAACTGCAACCAGTTAAATCAAAAACTAAAACTAATTAAGAAAGAAAATACAAATCAACACAGGACCACCAAGTCAGCAAAAGGATAAAAACCCTTCAACGGACATGTTCTCACCCAGGGTTCAAGCCAGATGGCCCAATTGATGTTTGAAACATTAGGTTAAAAGGGTAAGGGTTTGACAGACTGTTCTTTGTGTCTGGAGCAGTAATTCCATAACCTTTTATTTTAGCACCAAGTTCCTCTGCAGAAAGATCATCCAGCACAGCAAGCACATGCCTAAGCTCAGCTGCCTTATCAGCACTGAGATTAGGGTCCTTCTCGAGCTTCTCTTTGCAATGATCCTTGAGCAGATGATCTGCCCGGTAACATGTTCCAGTCTTTTCGTCTTTGACCATAAGGTCGGTGAACTTGTCCACGTGGCCTGATGCCTTGAGCACAACCTCTGGAGTGACACATGGGCAATCAACTTCTAGCATGTTCTCCTCCAGGACAAAATGCTGAAACATAGAAAAAGTTGAATATATTCAGCACCACTCGAACAAAAATGGAAACAGGATTTTAATTACTCGGAGAACGCAATTTTAGAAACCAAAGAAATGAGATTCTTACTTTTTAACTTGAAACATCACTTGTGAGTGTTTGCAAATTTCAGATTCAGCTTGTAATTTTGCTTCATCAAATCAGAATTGGGAATAAAAAAGATGGATGGACCAGATGGTTAGATTTGATAACACACATGATGAACTCACTTTACAATCTATCCAACAAACACTCTCTTAGATAGTTCAAGTTTTAGCTACTAATTATGAACACTGCCAAGTTACGGTCCTCGACTATTTTCACTTCCGGAGCAACCAATCTTCTAAAGGCATATTTTTGCAAGAAGAATCCTTACAGAAACCAAGGGAACAATTTAATGCAACAATAACAATCTATACAAGCAAAAAAGTACACATTGCATCTTCATGACGCGCATCACCTAAGATTTAATCAGTACTTTAAACAAACAAGCCATAAGCACTAGCAAAACTCCAGTTTCACTAGATTGACAAACATATGGATTTTCTGCACCAATTATAGTCTTGCATTTAGAATATGTTTGTGTTCAGTCACTATGATTCAAAG